AAAAGAAAAGAAAACTAAAGGTCAGCATACTCCTTTGTTAAAAGAATCAGAAATCAGATGGCAAAACATTTAGGTTTCTGCAGGCTACACAAAACTGTCTTTTACACCCGGCAGCAGTCTCCGTCACCACTACTAGTTAGTTAACTGTGCTGATATGGTGAGAAGCAGTCTTAGGCAGCCTAAGTGATGGCTGTGCTCCAAAAGCTATCACCACACATAAAACCAGAAGCAGACTGATTTGGCCTGCAGACCAGTATGCCAGTCCAACAGAGAAAAGATTTCAATATACAAACAAATATGCATCTAAAATCTTGATATTGCAGCTGGGGAGATGACTCAGTAGAATAAGCGCTTCTCTGGCAAGCGTAAGGGCCTGAGTTCAATCCCTGGTACCGCCAAAAAAAAAATAAAATAAAATCTTGATATTATATAGACCTGGGAAAATGACTGTAAGCATTTATACCATTCCTAGATGATTAAGAGCAAACTATTCTAATATTCAACTATGTCCCCTGAGCTATAACATAATTAGCCAAAGTAGAAATAACTAAGATATTAACACCAAGTATGCAGTGCTTATGTTTGGAGAATGTTGTTTGATTTTGAGATGTCACATAGAGCTGGTAAAATGTTACAAAAGGGGAAAAAAAAAAGATTCTTCAGAACTTCATAATATAATAAAATGAAAAGGTAATACAAACAGAATAAAGATAAAGATAACATTGTAGAACAGGTTCAAAATTGGACTATACCAATTATTAGCCACCATAAACCCTATGTTCTTCAAAACCTGGGACCTACAACGTATATATCAGAAGAGCTAAAATCAAGAACTCCAGCAAGGCTAGCCACAGTGGCAAAGGTTCTCCAGTCTCAGTAACTCAGCAGGCTGAGGAAATTCTTGGTAAGCCAAGGAGATTAGGGCCAGTTTGGGCAACATAACAACAGCTTGGTTTTTTTTGTTTTTTGGGGTTTTTTTGATGGAACTGAGGATTGAACTCAGGCCCCTGCGCTTGCCAGGGAAGTGTTTATTCCACTGAGCTATCTCCCCAGCCCCTGTTGTTGTTGTTTTATTTTTTATTTTGAGACAGGGTCTCACTGTACAGTTCAGGCTGGCCTTGAACTATGTAGCCCAGGTTGACCTTGAATTCATGGCCATCGTGCTGCCTCAGTCTCCCAGCATACCTTGTCTTAAAAAAATAAAAACAAGAGGGCCAGCAAGATAGCTCAACAAAGTGCCTGCTCAGGCAAGTGGAGGGACCAGCTTCGTTCCCCCATACCACATGCCCTACCAGACCCACCCCCAGGCAAGCTGAGCCAGTGAACAGGGTCCAGGCGTGGTGTGCACACCCATAACCCCATGCCAGGGAGTCTGAAAACAGGATCACTATGAGTTTGACCTGCATAGTGAGACTCTACAAAAAATAAAAACAAGCCAGGCATGGTGGTGCACACTAGTATTTCCAACATGGGCGTGAAGGTGGGGACCTGAGGCAGGACTGTTGAGAGCTGGAAACCAACCTGGGTTACAAAGTGACCTCAGGGCCAGCCTGAACTGCACAGCAAGACTCTGTATCAAAAAGATAAAAAAAAAAAAAAAAACAGGGCTGACCCAGTAGTTGAGTGGATTAAAGCTTCTGCTTAGGCAGATGCAGGGGCTAGGAATTCAATCCCCAGGGCGTGCTGAGCCAGTCAATGAGACCAGGCCTGATGGCATACACCTGTAATCCCAGCACTGGGGAGGCTAAAAACAGGAGGATCACTACGAGTTCAATCTAGTAGTGAGACCCTGAACACCCTGTGCACCCTAAAATACAAAAAAATAAATAAATAAAAACAAAATTAACCAAACCCTGGCAACACCAAGTTCTAGTTAGGATGAGGCACAACTGGAACTCTCAGGGCCAGCAAGATAAATCAGCAGAGTACACCCCTGTTTAGGCAAGTGCAGGGACCAGGGTTTGATCCCCTGCACCACATGTTGCACCATCCCCATCACTGGGCATGCTGAGCCTGCCAATGAGACCAAGCCTGATGGCACACACCTGTAATCCCTACACTGGGGAGGCTAAAAACAGGAGGATTATTACGGATCTGAGCTGCATAGTGAGACCCTGCACCAAATGCAAAAAAACTAAAAAGAAAGGAAGAAGGAAGGAAGGGAGGGAGGGAAGGAAGGAGGGAGGGAGGGAGGGAGAGGGAGGGAAGCAAGCAAGCAAGCAAGCAAGCTAGCTAACTAGCTCTCATGCCTTACTGGTAGGAATGCAAACTGGAAAATAATTTGAGAGTTTTGCATAAGGTTAAACATACATCTTAGGGCTGGGGAGATGGCTCAGTAGAATAAGTACTTCCCTGGCAAGCACAAGGGCCTGAGTTCAATCCCCAGTTCCACCAAAAAAAATTTAAAGAATACATCTAACATATGGTATAATCACTGCACTCTGAGGTATCTATTGAACGAAAAACTTAGGCTCACACAAAAATTATATGCAGCTGGGCCAGGTGGCGTACACCTATAATCGCAGCACTTGGGGGCTGAGGCAGGAGGATCGTTGTGAGTTCAAACCAACTTGGGCTACAAAGTGAGCGCAAGGCCAGCTTGAACTGCATAGTGAGACTCTGTCTCAAAAAGAAAAAAATTATATGCAAAGATTTACATTAGCTTTAAAAATTAGAAACTCAGAATGTTGGAGTATTTCTTACCAATTTAAAAAAAAAAATTCCTAACATAAACACAAATTTTCCTTAGCAAAGAAATCATATCTTCAACCCCCTACAATAGGCATGAATTAGTCTGAAGGGGGGGGGGATGAAGAGCAAAAACTTAACACTAATAGTCTATAAAATTAGATAAAACATTACCTTTTTAAGTGAAACAATCCATAATCATGCTCTGCAAGAAACATCATTGTTCTAACACACGTCAGTAAACAGCTGTAGCTGCTCTCAGAGTTAGCTAAAGTAGCCAACAGACAATCACAGATTGAAGCCATTAACTCTTTGTTTGGTAGAGAATTGGAAAGCTGCTCAAGTTCAGAAATAGAACCTTCAGAAGATGTTGGCAAAATAAGTGCAATGTCCTGTGGGGGAGAAAGAACAGAGAAAAAGCACATTTTTAAAATGAGTATCAGCCCCAGCGTGGTGGTGCAGCCCTGTAATCCCAGCAGTCAGGAAGCGGACGCAGGAGCATCACCATGAGTTCAAGGCCAACCTGCACTACAAAGTAAGTTTAAGTCCAGCATGAACTGCATAATGAAACCCTGTCTCAAAAAGAGGGCCAGTGAGACAGCTCAGTGGTCTAAAGTGCCTGCTTAGGCAAGCCCAGGAAAAATAAAGGGACCACAATTCTATTCCGGGCACCACATGTCATGCCAACACCACCCGCAGGGCGGGCTGAGCAGACTACAAAAAAAAAAAAAAAAAAGATAAAATTTTTTAATAGAATAAAATGAGAAGGAAGAAGGAAAACAGTATAAAAAAGAATTAAGATGTGTTATGTACATGTGTCAACTCCCCATAAGGACTATGATCATTATGTACTGTAAACATGGACCAATAAAAATATTAACTAGAAAAAAAATGATTACCACCACCACTTAGAACTGTTACTTGGCTGGGGGGGATGTTACTTCAGGGCTGGGGAGAGCACAAGTCATGAGTTCAATCACCAGTACCAAAAAGAAAAAAAGAAAAAAGAAAAAGAACTGTTACTTCTAAAGTATACACCAATTAATGTTTACTAATTTTGTCATGAAAATATTTCTATGGCCACATCCCTAGTAATGACTACAAATACATCAAGAACAAAGAAGTGCGGGGCGTGTGGCGCACACTTGTAAGCCCAGCACTCCAGATACTGAGGCAGGAAGACTGCCCCACTTTCAAGGCCAGCCTGGATGACATGGTGAGTTCAAAGCCAACCTGAACAACACAGTGAGATCCTATCTCAAAAAAAAAAGTTCTTTTGCCCTTTTATACAAGTTAAAGATACACATCTTAAGAAGACTTAAATGCTTTACAAAATTTTTACTGAAAAAAAACTTTTTAAAAATATTTTCCTTCTTTGTACAGAGGGAAATTTCTATTTTCAAATGGCTAAAGAAAAGGTATTTTAGGAAATGGAAGCAGTATCTACCATGCACGAGTTCAGGAGGGCTACCCCTAGCTAGCACTTTGGTACTAAAACACTTCAAGTCCCTGTATTACTCATTCATCTGGATAGCTTTTGGCATATAAGGAAATCATTCATTAAAAATAAACGTTAAAAAAAATTTAAGGGGCCAGGGAGATGGCTCAGTGGAATAAGCGCTTCCCTGGCAAGTGCAAGGGTCTGAGTTCAATCCCTAGTTCCGCAAAAAATTAAAAAAAAAATTAAAAAATAAAAATTAAAAATAGGGGCCAGGGAGAAGGCTCAGTAGGATAAGCGCTTGACTGGCAAACGCAAGGATCTGTGTTCAATCCCCGGTTTTGGGGGGGGGGGATTAAAAATAAACTTTATTTTATTTATTTATTTAATTTTTTGGGGGGGGGGTCAGAAACAGGGATTGAACTCAGGCCCTTGCACTTGCTAGGGAAGCACCTTATTCCACTGAGCCATGTCCCCGGCCCCAAAAACAAACTTTAATAAGCATAACAGCATTGGACCGGGAATATGCCCCCAGGTTATTTTTGTTCAGTTATTTATTTTTGGCGGAACCGGGGATTAAACTCAGGCCCTTGTGCTTGCCAGGCAAGCGCTTATTCTACTGAGCTATCTCCGCAGCTGGACCAGGAATATTGCTCAGCAGCACAGCACCTGCCTATAAGAATAAGGTCCTAAGTTCAATTCTCAGTACCAAAAATTTAAAAAGCATTAGCAATATTGGAATTCTAAGCATCACAAAAAGAGAAGGATGGGAGCAAATGACATGAAACATAGTCTTCAATTAAATATTCCTCTCTATTTTTTACATACTCTTAATCCCTGGTTCCACCAAAAAAAAAAAAGTATATACTCTTGAAATACAAGTTTTCTAGTGCAAACCATGTTTAACTAACATTAACTATAAAAATTTCCACTACTTTTTTTTCTTTGTATTGAGAGCTGAACCCAGGGTTTTTCACTGAGCTCTGAGCTACACCTCCAGACTCAGCACTGAGCTGGCCAGGATGGGCTCCACCTTGGGATCTCTCTGCCTCTGCCTCCCAAATGCTCTTTGCACTGAAGTAAAACAGAGTGCAAGGCAGGATTCTGGGGTGTTTCATCACCTTTGTAATTCCAACAAACTAAAACCAGTATTTAACCCAGCCTGAAACTATGAAACAAAAATTTCAATCAGAAGGAAAATACAAAATGAGGCCATGAATAAGGCCTGTGTGATCAAAGTCAAGGAACGCTCAGTGTCAGTCAGCACAATCAAGCAACCCCACATGGATTATTCAGTAAGTATTAATCAAGTGTACAACCCAAGGTAGATTTAAAATATCCTTCTTACCAGGCCCAAAAGTCTTTTCTGCCTTGTTTACTTTTACTTTTTTGTGGTCTGAGGCAGGGTTTCCCTATGTAGTTCAGGCTGGCCTCAAACTCAGTGATCCTCCTGCCTCAAACTCCAAAGTGCATGGATTATAAGCATGTACCACCACACCCAGTTGCCACATCCTTTTTTTTTGGCAGAACCGGGGATTGAACTCAGGCCCTTGCGCTTGCCAGGGAAACGCTTATTCCACTGAGCCATCTCCCGGCCCCGTACCACATCCTTTTAATGAAAATAAATCACATAAAAATATATACGTTCTTGACTTTAGTCTTAAATATAACCAGACTGGATTTCTGTCTTCCAACCATTAATTTTATTAAAAATATTCTCCCTGAAAAATGTCCTATCAGATAACCAGTTAGCAGGGGCCAGGAAGATGGCTCAGTAGAATAAGCACTTCCCTGGCAAGTGCGAAGGCCTGAGTTCAATCCCCAGTTCAGAGAGAGAAAGAGAGAGAGAGAGAGAGAGAGAGAGAGAGAGAGAACACCAGTTAGGCATTCTGTTAAAATACCACTGGGCATGGAAATCTCCACAGATCCCAGTTAGAATGCACTTAAAAGCTGATACAATTATCATTATCTCCTGAGATGTAAACTAGGAGTCAATAATACAGACATGCAGTAAAAAAATATCACTGTTGGTCAACAGCTGTGCTACAAGCATAGTAGTCTGATATACTATAACCTGTTACCTCTGATGCCTTCCACAGCAGTACAACAGGACACATTAAATCAACCAGTAACAAAGCTATACAAGTCAAGAATAATTTGGTATATAGTTGGAAGTAAAATTAACATGGTAGACATTAACCAACTTTTAAAACTGTCAGTGGCGCTGAGTGTGGTGGCATATGCTGGTAATCCCAGCACAGGAAAGCTGAGGCAGGAGGATCGTTGCAAGTTTGAGACAAGCTTGGGCTACAAAGTGAGCTCAAGGCCAACCTGAGCACATAGTGAAACCCTGTCTCAAAAAGACCAAAAACCAAAAAATCAGGTGGCACATAAAGCAATTGCCCAAGGTTCTAATCTTACAAAGAAGATAACAGCTCTTCAGAGAAACCCACAATACTGTATACTAACCCTTGCTAGGCACGGTGGTGTAGTCCTATAATCCCAGCACATTGGGATGCTGAGGCAGAAGGATCACAAATTCCTAGCCTAGCCAATTTAGCAACTTAGTAACACCCTATCTCAAAATTTAATTAAAAAAAAAACAAAACTGCAGGGCATTGCTCAGCGCTGCTCACTGCCGCTCAGTGCAAGGGCAGGGGGTTCAATTCTAGTACCAAAATTTTTCTTAAAAGACCAAGAAATACAGACCCAAAGCATACTGGTTTTGTTTTTGTTTTTTTGTTTTTTTTTGTACCAGGGATAGAACTCAGGACCTTGCACTTGCCAGGCCGCTAAGCTATATCCCCAGGCCCAAAATATGCTTTGAAGAATCAAAACATTTTACTGTTCCTTCACTTGTCAAATTTATCTTCCTATACACACAATAAAACATAATGAGAGCTTTCTGCTCACAGCTGAGATTTACACTGAGAGAGGCTTTCAAGTACACACAAAAACACAGTGACTTTATAAAATGTAAATACCTGATCACAGAGAGACTGCAAAATGGATGTGATGTATTCAACACACTGCTGGCGAATAACACTGTCTCCAGGAGACCGCACCAAAGCTAAAAGATCTTGGAATATCTCCGCATATCTTTCATCACCTTTAATAGTTCCATTAATTAGATGTAAAATAGCTAATTTACAAGCTTTGTGTGAAACCAGAGCATCAAGAAGAGCAAGCAACCTGGTGGTCTGGCTAGTATACTGTTTTTCTTTATCTTCTGAAGTGCTGAAATAAAATCAGTACATTTAGTAAACAAAGTTCTTGTTTTTTTCTTGCTTTTTTATTTGAGACAGGGTCTCACTGTGTAGTTCAGGCTGGCACTGAACTCACTACGTAGCCCAGGCTCGCCTCAAACTCATGGCAATCCTCCTGCCTCCGCTTCCCAAGTGTTAGGATTACAGGCATGCACCACCATGCCCAGCTTAAGGTTCTTAATTTTAATGGAATTATTAAACTAATTTATTTTACTAAACACATTACACAAATTTTCCATAAAACATTTCATTCTTTGAATGACAATTTTTCTGAAATTTTACAATTACTATTCCATAAATTCAGATTTTTAAGAATGTTTTCTTAAATCCAAGTACTTCTTTATAGTTCACCTTTCAGAAGTCCAAATTCTAAACCTTCAAGGTATCTGGCACATAAAATGATGAAATAAAGCTTTCTAATTAACAGTAATTTACATATATTCATTAATACATACGTGTATGCATGTGTATATTTATATGTAAATGTGTTTTCTAAACCCGGCTTTCCAAGCTCTTAAGCAAAAAAAATTGTATCCATGTCAAGAATAACTTCAGGAAAAAATTCTAAATGCAAAATGAAAATACCTTTGCAAGTCTTCTACAATCAAATCCAACACAGTTCTCATAATCAGAAGTGCAGTTGGTGAGGCAAGGTCACACAATTGAACACAAATACGCCGTAACATATGCTGAATGGGCTGGCAGGCTGTGCCAGAGAAAGAGCGAACTATCTCTTGGAGCAACTTTGCTTGAACATGAAGGTGCATGCTCCACAATTTTCGGGTGTTGAGTGCCACTGATATATCATGTGGCTCAATAACCTGTTAAAAAAGTATAATGTTGTGTACATAGATTTTTAGTATTTATTTAAAGTCACAAAAGCTATTCAGGAAGAACTGTTATAAAAGAACATAGTTACTGCATGCTTAAAACATGTAATCTTCTACTATACAATTACACATTTGGCTGAGTTCAATGAGTCTAAAAAATCTTATTCTTGGTTTAGCAGTCAGTCGAGCAAGGTACACTGGTGAAGCAACCTAGTTATTGGCAAAATCTAACACATGATGAGGGATTAAAATAACAGAAAAATATAAGTTCAAGTATACATAACAGCATAATAAAACTCACTTTAACAAAAATTTATTTAACGTATTACCCTCATATTGCCTCAATGACCAACTTGTTTCAGTTTTATCTTGCCCTTATCCAGTTATTTTATGTCTTTTGATGGGGGAAAGGAATGAGGGTTTTGTTTTTAACAAAAATCATTGGCTTTATGAAAAGTGTTACTGCAGTCATTCATAAGATGCATGTTATATGAAAGTGATACCTGAGTCGTTTGCATGGGCAAAGGAAGAGGCAGCAGCTCTGAAAGGAGTATGAGTCCAGAAAAAAATCCTTCGGGAACCTTCAAGATGGAAGAAAGAACTTCTTTTAACATTAAAGACCAAGTATTATTGGCCAGAGTCTCTTCTGACATTGTGAGTTTTTCATTAACTCCTTGTGTGAAAGTCAGTAAGATATCAATGATGTCATTCTGAATTCTCTGTTCATCGCTATCCAAACGACCTGAAAGGGGGATAGAGCAGAGGAGCATGTGGAGCGTGACAAGTGCTGAAGGAACACGCATGTCCTTAAACTCAAAGGAGCCGCCTCTCAGGAGTTCCATTAGCATCGTTTTAAGAAGTGCGAGCGTGCAGCGAGCCATTGAAATGGTAGTAACTCTGTGAAGAGTGGTCCCCATGTTGACATGGAGCCTCCAGGGCTGAGTCAAAATACTGTTCAACTTCTGCAGAACCCGAATGAAGGTGTCCATTCCTTCAGCAGAAAAAAGCTGAATAACCGCAAGATTCCATTTCAGGTCTTTCTGTTGACCTTTATATAAGATAAGGAGGAAGAAAAACCTCATTACTTACATGTTAATCAGTTAAGAATTTTGAATATTCAATAAATGGTATTTGTACTATGTTTAAAGTATAGTAATTTTTAATTGTCACAGTACCTTCAACAGGAGGAGGTGGGCATGCCACATTACAGAGAACACGTAAGGCAGTGGTAAGGCCAACTCCTTCTGGGGTCATCAAGTTATCAATATTCTTTAAAAATAAAAGTGAACAGAGTTGAACTTCTTGGTAGCCATCAGATCAAAAGAAACTTGCAAACATGGCATTAAAAATGTATGTGCAAGGGCCGGCCAAATAGCTCAGCGGATTAAAGTGCCTGCAAGCAGGCTCAGGGGCCAGGGGTTCAATCCAGTGTCTGCCATGCAGGCCCCGCCCCTGGGGTGCACTGAGATGGCAACTGAGAATGGGCATGGTGGTCTGCGCCTGTAATCCCAGCTCTTAGAAGGCTGTAAACTGGCAGATCACTGAGTCTGATCTAGTAGTGAGACCCTGAACACCCTGTAGATCCTTACCTAAAAATTAAAAGAAAAAAAGAAAGTGCAAGGCAAGGACCTCTTTAGCATGCATATGCAAGGCCTTGAGTTCAATCTTGGGAAGGGGAGGGGAGGGCAGGGCAGGAGAAAGGGAGAAGGGTTGGGGAGAGGAAGGGAGGGGAAAGGGAGAAGGGAGGAGAGGGAAAGGGAGGAGGGAAGGGAAAGAGGAAAGGAGAAGGGAGAGGGGAGGGGCACGGGAGGGGAAGAGGCAAAAGGGGGAAGGGAGGATAGAAAAGGGGGAAGGTGTAGGGAAGAAGAGGAGAAAGGGGGAAGAGAGGGGAAGAAAAGGGGGAAGGGGAGGGGAAGAAGAGGAGAAAGGGGGAAGGGAGGGAAAGAAAAGGGGGAAGGGGAGGGGAAGAAGAGGAGAAAGGTGAAAGGGGAAGGAAGGGAAAGACGAGAAGGAAGAGGGGAGAGGAGGAAAAGGCAGAGAAGGGGAAGAAGAGAAAGGGAGGAGGGAGGGGGAGGGGAAGAAAAAGAGGAAGTGGGAGGGGAACAAGAAGGAAGGGAAGGGGAAAGGAAGGGAGAGAGAAGGGAGGGGGAAGGGAAAGGAGAGGGATGAGAGTGGGAAGAGAAGGGGAAGGGGGTAAAGGAGAGTAAGTTTTAAGTATTTATATTTATTTGTGTATAGTATATCTGCCTTGTTTGTTTTTGGTCTTTTTTGATTCTACTGTATTTTTTTTGGTTCAATTGTTTTTTGTTTTTGTTTTTGTTTTTGTTTTTTCCCAGAACTGGGGATTGAACAGGCCCTTGTGCTTGCCAGGAAAGCACTTATTCCACTGAGCTATCTCCCCAGCTCAATTATTTTTAGGGCAGGTCTTTTTTTTTTTTTTTTTTTTTTTTTTTTTTTTTGTATTTTTTAGAGAAGGGTCTACAGGGTGTTTAGGGTCTCACTACTAGATCGGACTCGTAGTGATTCTCCTGTTTACAGCCCCCCAAGAGCTGGAATTACAGGCATGTGCCACCATGCCCAGTCTCAACACATCCCAGGGGCGGGGCTGACACAGCAGGCTCTGAGATCGAACCCCTGGCCCCTTGCACCTGCTTGCAGGCACTTTAGGGGAAGTCTCTTTTTGTTTGTTTTTCTTTGTTTTTGGTGCCAAGGACTGAACCCAGGGCTTCCAGCTTGCTAGGCAAGCATTCTACTGCTGAGCTAAATCCCCATCCACTTTGTACAGTATGTTTAAAACAAGGCATAAAGCTAAAGAAGTTTATCAAAATTATTCTCTTTTGCAAATGTTAACCTGTGACACACGACATAAAAATTGTAGTGTACAAACAATATAAAGTATTAACACAAAGCTAATATACAGAAATGAGACTCTACTGAGTTTAACTCCTTTCTTTATACCTATTTATACATGTCTCCTAAAAGGGGAGCAAAGATTGTGTGTTTAAGAGCTGTATGGTGCAAAGCCCCTTTCAAAACCGAGGAAACAACATGGAAAGCTTTTCGACTACATATATAGCTACACTTTTAAAATGCCAATATCAATAGCAGCCTGGGGGGCCGGGGAGATGGCTCAGTGGAATAAGTGCTTCCCTGGCAAGCGCAAGGGCCAGAGTTCAATCCCCGGTTCCGCAAAAAAAAAAAAAAAAAAAATAGCAGCCTGGGTAGAGGAAAACGAAAACCACCGGCCTTGTGTCCTTGGCATCTGCCTATGTTACGGATCCTGACAACTAAGACAACTAAGTGTAACGTTACACTGTCATAACTTCCACACTGAGCATCATAAACATTTTAAAAATGTGTGAAGAAATAACATTAAAAAGGTTCCTACACCAACTTCTAAGCTTCCAAGTATAATCTTTTTTGTTAAAGAGGGTAACAATGTTAATTAACACACTGTATTGTCTTTAGTTACTCAAAGTACAAGATATCAGCATGTAATTGTCCAAAAATATAGCACAAACCTTTATTTATTTTTATGTATTTGGTACATGGTCTCACTATGCAGCTCAGACTCATAGTGATCCTCCTATTTTCAGCCTCCCCAGCGCTGGGATTACAGGTGTGTGCCACCACACCTGGCCTCAGTGGTGACCTGTAGTGCTGGGGATCAAACCGTGACCTGTGGTGCTAGGGATCAAACCCCAGTCCCACACTTGCCTAGGCAGGTATTTAACTGCTAAGCTATCTCACTAGCCCAAACCTTTTAAATGAACTACGAGAAATTAGTAGTATAACTACATATAGAAATATATAGATTTTTTTTTTTTTTTTTTACTTTTCCCATCCTTTTTCTCCATCCTCCATCCCAGTTTCCAAGTATAATTTTAAAAAGTAAATTTCTATCTCATGATTTCCACTTTAGGCAATCTTTTCCTCTCACTTTTTCTTGGGATACTACAAACTATATAAAGGAACAGGGAGCCAAAGAGTGAAGATTCAGTCTTGGATCAACTGATTTTAATACATCATGGTATGAGAGCTACTTAATGATAATCATGCTTAAAGGTCAGGATTTATACAAAAATCAAAACTTACAGCAAGTAATTCAGTTTTCTAGAAAACAAATTTCTAGAACTACATTCCTTACTATTTTTTTCACAACATTTGATTTTTGTTGAATTTCTATTATTAATCTATCATGCACAAACATTTGAAATGCATGAATCTATAAATTCATAGTACATTTATTATCCTGCTAAACAGAAGACAATACAATGAGAAGCTCCAGATATCATCAAAACCAAGACTTAAGAAAACAGAGGACCGGCCAAATAGCTCGGCAGATTGGTTTTTTGTTTTTGTTTTGTTTTGTTTTGTTTTTTAGCTCAGCAGACTGAAGCGCCTGCTTAGGCAGACCCAGCAGATGGGGTTCGATCCCCGACGTGCTGTGCCAGCACTGCCTCGGGGTGTGCTGAGACAGTGATTGAGACTGGGTGTGGAGACGCATGCTGTAATCTCAGCGTTTTGAGAGGCTGAACACCAGCAGATCACTGAGTCCCATCTACATAGTGAGAACCTGTAGACCTTTACTAAAAAAAAAAAAGAAAGAAAGAAAATCATGAATGCATCACAGGAGGCAAAGTACTCTTAGGAGATACAGTGACAGAGAAGACAAAAGCAGAAATATTAATAAAGAATAGTGAGATAGAAAAATTAATAAAGAAACAGCGAGACAGCTCAATGGACTAAGCTCCTGCTTAGGCAAGCACAGGGACCAAGGTTCAGTCCCCAGCACCACAGATAGTGCAGTGCCAGCCCAGCCCCGCCCCTGCCCCCAGGCAGCTCTGCAGGCCACAGAGACCAGGGTTTGGAGGTCTATGACTGTAATCCCAGTGCTGGGGAGACTGAAAACGGGAGGACCCCTACAAGTGCCAGCTGCATAGTGAGACCCTGTACCAAATACATTAAAAAAAGAAGAATCTGAAGCAGACAAACCCAAACAGTACTTTGTGCATAGGTCAGGACAGCAACGGGTGGTTCCCTCTCCCTCTCCTTCTCCCCCGCCCTCAGAGCTACATGAAGTAATTCAAAGTTCATATTGCCCTTCCACCTTAAAACTTTCACATATCTAAGTCCCTTTAGTCCTTTTTTTTTTTCTTTGCGGAACCGGGGATTGAACTCAGGCCCTTGCCTGCGCTTATTCCACTGAGCTATTTCCCCACCCCCCGTTCAGTCCTTATTCTTATATTAAACCCCTGATCAACCAAGAGGGAAAATAAAATCAACAGGAAAAAACAATCCACTGATTTCATTACTATAAATTACTTGAATTTTACCAGTACTATTATTAATTTTATAGAACTTGATTATAACTTTTCTGAATTATTTCAATTCAAGTAAGGCTCCCAAATTAACAACAGCAAGAACAAGCCCCTATGCTGCAATTATCTGGAACTGGTCCTATCAAATTTCAGCTAAACATTTCCACAAAAATTGTTTCTAAGGTTTAATAGGAAAATGATACGTCATATTATCATACGGAGTGAGATGACCGGGGTCGCGGGATCCTGCACAGACCCAGAGCGCAGGCCCAGCGAGTGAGTGAGACGACCGAGGCCGC